CCTGAACAGTCGTTTTCTCTTTAATTCATCTGGCCGTATGTCTGATTTGTCAGTGTTATTGCTATCTGCATGTCTCGGACTTCCGTGAAGCAGGAACCTTTTTCTCATAGCAGTAAATTTTACGTAACTTGAAATCTCAAGGGCGCAAAATTTAGCACTATTAGTAATCCGCATTGATCTCTCAGTGAATCTTTTGTTCAAGATGATTAATGAAATGGCCACAGTTGTGACTGATACTACAGAAACAATATTTTAAAAACCATAACCATTTTTTACGTAAAAACAATCATCAACGGCAGTTGATACAATGACAAATAGACACACTCGTATTCTCTCTCAGTAGACGAACACTTGAGCGATTTCGTCACATTCGTAAAGCCTTTTCGAGAATGCATCACAGAGCTTTATGCCAGAGAGAGACTGCAAATGTAAAAGTTAAAGCAATTTACAAATGAATAGCGAATGCGAAATCATTCAGAACAAAAAGGTCTTCTGATCCTACGCAAAAGGCACAAAAACAAGATAAACACGCCGTTCGACGGCGGAATTTTCGTGCCTTGGTGATGAACATTGTGGTATGTTTTAAACAGCATAAATAATCATCACCATAGGATCGGAAGACCTGTTTTAGAGTTAGAAGAATTATTTCAATTTCAGCACTGACTCAATTAAGAATTCTAAAACATCTCGCAGATAGCTTAAAATAATACTAACGATTAATCAAGGTCAAACTTTATTTTTGATCTTCGTATGTAGAAATAATTTCAAATTAAACAGTGACATCGGAAAAATAAGATATTTGATCTAACTTTGATCAGTTTCAGTAAAAGGATCAAAAAAGCGAAGTGTACAGAGAAAGCCATTGCCTTAGTCCACTTCACATGCTAATGCAAAATAACCGGTAAAGCTTGTGGAAAAACGTTCGTTTCATGGAAGCAGTGTCCATAAAAAAGACATTATGCAATACAAGATTAGCCAGTCTGCCGTAGGCAGACCGCAGACTGTCATTCTATCTGGATACTATATTTCCAATAAGTCGTTCCCACGCTGACCTGACGTTGTAAATTATATTCAACACCTCTGGGTTGCCTTGGGTGTGTCTTTTGAAGAAAAGAATCTCCAGACTCATGCGAGACTTGTAATAACTTGTAAACCCCATGATTTCTAGGTATGTTCTGATTGCCGCAGACACTTGGATCATGCATGGCTAAATTACCATAGGTCCGCTTAGAGGTAACACAGGTATTCAGGTATGATGCCCAAGAGTGAACTTCTCCGCCCCCTCTTCCGAGAGGTGCATCTTGACAAAGTCGTGCCAGGACAGAGTTATGATAACTTCGCTATACA